GGTGTACTTATACGCGGTTGATTCATTCATCGTTTTTCCTTCTTTTTTCTTTTTTAAGATAACTTTTCATCTTTTACCAGTGAAATGTCAGACGCATTTGTTTTAGGACACGGCTTGGTTCTCGATGAATCGAATCCCATAACCTTGGTGTTGGAACCCATCCTTTAATAGATTTTAGGTACAGTCTGAGGTTTCTTTGTAATTTGTTAGCATGTCTCCTCTGAGGTATAAAAACGTAGTTTCTGGAAGTTAGCATGATCTAACGGCATGATTCCACTTTCAGTTGCAAGAAATTCAAGGGTGCCAATAAACACTTATTCAGGATATTAAGAGGAAAACTGTTGAGGGAGAAATTATTGAACTGTAACGATAAGTAGTTGTTGAGTCTGTAGCATTTGAAAAAGTCAATATCTCAAGGGAGGAAAGCAGTACTTTGGAAATCTAATTATCATGTATACTGCTTTTGTTAAGTCTTCAGTCAAGACACAGAAAAGTACTGGAAGCATTTCAACTTTATATCAGGCAGTTGGTGCGTGGGATAAGCAAGACAGATGAACAGAAACACGAGAAGCAAAGGGAATAAAAGACCTACAAGATTGATCAAGGCGTGTTCACCAAATTAGTTACTTCTCGCAATCTACGAAAGGAGATATCGGCCGAAAAATTAAATAGACGAGTCAAATTTGTAGAATTTAAACGAATGCCATTTTCTTCAGTTGAAAATGTCTTTTCTCGTTTCACATGATAAATCGTACAATCTCAACCTATAACTTTATGTACCTATCGTGTTTATATTGCAAAAATCCGAGAAATAACTCATTTTGTCAGCACGCCTCACATAAAGTGACGCTCTCCAACCAGCCGCAGAAATGTTGGAGAAGAAAAATAACACGAGAATCTCTCTCTAAATATAAACGTGGACTTAGGAAGCTTTGTGCATAAACTCTTCTCTTATTACCTAACCCAACCCCTTTAATACTTTGCAGGGGTCCACAGCATCCGTGTGGCTAGGACCTAACTTTAAAAAATCCACGCCAACTGCTTTCCCCGATTTTTCCATAATGCTTTTTTTTCGTCCACACTGAGTTTAGGATTGAGTTGCTAACTGACGATCAACAATTTCGCAGCCTCATTACTAACAAACAAACCACAAGTCTTTTCTCGACACAATTGTTCATAACGTCAAACCTCCCTTTTCGAACTTCACACAATTTTTAATGACGTCAAACCTTCCTTTTGTTTTGAAAAACAACATTTTGCGCATCATATTCTCATCGAATTCAGTTGCAAATCAAGACTTCATCTAAGCTTTATCTAAATTCTATAACTAGAAATGTGTGTTTGCGTTGGATCAGGTCATTTTATAACTCTTTCAACTCGATTGGCATCACTTTGCAGGTGAGAAAAATAATATTAGCGTGCGCCAGTAAATTGAACGGAATTTATAAGTTCACAAGGAGTTTGAAGGAGTGCGCATTCGACTCTTTTGAGTCCGTTCATCAAGGGTACCTAGCTGGTACTTAATAACGTTGGCAACCTGTTCGAATTTTCTAAGCTCAGGAAGCAACATTTTTCGAGAAAAAACAACAACCCCAAGATATTATAATATGTGACATTGTGTTGGCAATGTTTTATTGCACCAACATTATGCCTTTTTCTTGCTGTGTCCAACATTTAGAATTTGAATTTTGAGATAACCCTTGAGCATGCAACTGATTTCACAGTTAATAAATCTGCAATAAAAAAAAAAAATGGGCCGAGATCATCTACCAGACGATATGCAAATTATATTTTAAAAAACATGGTCGGTTTTTCTGGTGACCCTGCGATAAACTCGGTCAAAGGAGATATTATCACCAGCGTCTTATTTCTACTCTCGTCAAAGACATCAATGGGCATCTTACAATAATATTATTATAGTTTCGTTGTTTCATTACATCTTTCTAGTTCGGAACTGAAGAAAAGGGTTTTCTGGTGTGGGCGGTCTCTTTTTTGTTCACTTTCTCAAAACTTCCAATTTCGTTAAAACAGAAAAAAAAAATGACATAGGAGTTTAATTAAGGCACGATTATACTGAAGATATGACAGTAAATCTTCGTTTCTATTGAACGACCCTTTCAAAAATAAATGTGTCGGTTGTGTATGATTGCGTTTGTGGCCAAGCCGACAAGAAACATTTTCAATGAAACGTAGAAGTACAACAACATTTTAAATACAGGAGTGCTACTAAAGATGCAAATAAGTCTTGAGATATTCTTTGGCATGCTAATATGTGTGATGGGCTTGTGTTATGAATATTCATGTTTCATTGCAGCCCTTGCCTAG